CCGCCGCCCCGTCGCCGCTTGCCGGTCGCGCGGGCTGCCACGCGGCGCCGTCGCCATCGCCTTCTGGGGCGGTTTCGGCAGCGGCCGCCAGCGCCGCAGCCGCAGGCGTGGCACTGCCTCGCGCTGCGCCACCACTGCTGCCTTTGCTGTCCAGGGGACCGCCGAATTCGGGTGCCGCCGAGCCCAACACAGCAATGGCGTCGCTGGCAGCGGCGGCGCCCGGAGCAGGCACAGGGCTGGCCGAGACGCAGCCTGCCCCGCAGCCTCCCTCTCCGCCGGGAGCAGCGCCACCTCGCCGGCCAGCGCCACCGCCGCCACCTCCGTCTGTGTTAACGCCGCTGCCGGCGCCCAAGCCTGCGCCCCTCCCGCCGGCTCCACGGCCACCTGTGCTTGACGTCCCGCCTCGACCACCAGCGCCGCCGCCGGCACCCGCGCTGCTCGCTCCCGCTCCGCCGGCGCCCGTGCAGCTCGCACCAGGGCCGTTCGCGCCCGCACCGCTGGCGCCGACGCTGCTCGCGCCTGCACCGGAGCCGCCCGCGCCTGCATCGGCGCCGCTTGCACCAGAGGCGCTGCCGGCCGCGCCGCTTGCGCCTTCGCTGCTCCCACCAGCACCCCGGCCGCTCGAGCCGGCGTCGCTCACGCCTGCACCGCTGGCGCCCGCAACGCTGGCGCCGCTCGCGCCCGCGGCGCGCGACCCCGAGCCGCTCGCCCCCCCGCCGCTTTCGCTCGCGCTGCTGCCGCCGCCATCACCAAGACCACCTGCGCCGCTGGCTCCACATTCGCCTGGACCGCCTCTGCTCATTCCTGCCGCGCCGCCCGCCTGGCTTCCTGGCGCGGCGCTGCCCCCGAGTGTCCGACCGCTTGCTCCACTTTCAGGTCCGCGCGAAGACCCCTTCCCGGCGCCGCCGCTCACAGAACTTGAAGCCTGTGATGCGCTTCCTGTTGCTGCGGCGCCCTCCGCGCTGCTCGTTGTGCTCCCCGAGGAGCTCCCCTGCCCGGCGGCGCCGCCGGCGCCGCGGTCGGTGCCGCCGCTGTTGCCGTCGTCGCCCGGTGCAACAGCCTGGCGGCCCGCCTTGCCAGCACCACCCTGGGCGCCTGGCCTGCTCCTCGCTTGTCGACCTGCTGCGCCCTTAGCTGCCGGCCTGCCTGTTGTGCTGGCCCTGGCTGGGCCAGCTCCGCTGCTTTTGAAGTCACTGTCGCCACCACCGCCGCCTGAGCTAGCGCCTTCGTCGCGCCCCTCGCCCCCAGAGGCATCGTCCCCTTCAGTGCTGCTGCCCCTGCTGCCGCCTGAGCCTCTGTGGGCACCTACACCAGCACCTCTGGTGCTGCCGCCTCTGCCGCTTGGACTCGCCTTCCCCGCGCTGGTCCCACCAGGACGGCTGCTGCTGGCGTGCTGGCTGCCGCTTGCATCAGCCTTTCCCCTTTGCTGTGGTGAGCTTCCACTCATGACTTCACCACCGCTGCTGCTTCCGCTGCTGCTGCTGCCGCCGTCGGGCTGCGCAGCTAGCTGACCCTGCTTGCTGATCATTGCGGGGCTCCCTGGAGTGCAGCCCCGCAGCTCGTCGCCTCCACCCTTGCTGTTGCTGACATCACTGCAGCTGTCGCCGCCGCCGTCGCCGTCGCCCTCTCCGTTGCTGGCATCATCACCGCCAACGCCACTGCCTCTGGCGCTGCCGCTGCTGCCGGTGCTGCCGCTGGTGCTGCTGCTGGTGCTGCCGCTGCTGTTGCTGCCGCTGCCGCCGCCGCGGCTGCTGCTGCTGCTCCTGCTGCTGCTGCTCATGAGCATGCTTGATGACGGAGAGTTGTCGATGGTGCTGTCTGCCAGCTTCTCCCCACCTGTTGCGCGACCATGTCTGTTCTGACCCTTGAGTCCCGCCGCAGCAAATCCTGTGCTGTCCCCTTTTTGTGCATTGCCCGCTTTTGCCGTTTGCGTCCCAGCGCCCCTATCCGCACCTCCACGCAAGCTGCCCGACCGCGCGGTGGTGCTGCTGGAGGCACCGCTAGCCGCCGTCGGCGGGGTGACATCGGCAGCCGCCTGGCTGTCAGCTGAGGAGTCACCCGCCTGTTGCGCCGCCGCTGCTGCACAGCCCGCTGCTGCCGCAGGTCCCGCCTTGCTGCCACTTGCGGCCTGCTGCGGTTGAGCCCTGTAAGCAGCACCTGCGCTGCCATTGAGGGGCGTGCTAAGCTGCTGGTGGCTCGGGCGACCGCTGTCAGCCTGGTCCGATCCTGCTGCATAGCTGGCGTTTTGGGCTGGCCGCTTCCGCTGGAGGGTGCCTGCGTTCTCGGCTGCCATGCCTGTGCCGGGCTGGCTCCCGGCTGCGCCCGCGTGGGCAACTTCTGAGGATCCGCTGGCTTCGCTGCTCAGCCCCACAGCAGCACTGCTGCCCTGAGGTGACAGACTAGTGCTGCTGCCACCGCCGCTGGCAGCCGCAAGGTCGCCAGCATCAAAGCTTTCACCGAACGAGCTGCCGTCTGCAGCGCTGGACGCCGGTGCTGCCGGCTGCGTGGCGGCGGCGTCTTGCGCGCCCGACGGCAGCTTGTCACTGGTGGCACCGCCGCCACCAGCGCCGCTCGTTGGCGTTTGTGAAGGCGCTCCGCTGCTGCCGTTGTTGCCGGCGCCTGCTGCCGCCTGCGAGAGCCCCCGCCCCTCAGCGCTGCTGTCAACACTGCTCTTGCCGCTGGCAGGTGCGGAACAGGACGTGCCACTGCTCCCCTCGCCGCCGCTGCCAGTCGCCTGTGCGGTCTCTGCCTCTCCTGCTGGGGCACGCCTCATGCCCTCCGAGGCGGCCACGCCAGCAGCACCGCCTTCGGCGCCGCCGGCAGACCCGTCACTTCCCGCCAACTCTGCAGCGCTTTGGCCGCCGGCGCCCACAGGCGTGGCGGCAGCTGCGGCAGGAGAGTTGTGCAGGCTCCCCGCTTCTGCTGCCGCCACTGACGCCGCCGTGCAGGCGAGCCGGATGCTGCTGGCCAGCACCTCAACGTGCACGAGCGGTGCCATGTGCTGCACGCAGGCTGGCACAGGCATCAGGTGCAACGCCGCGGCAAACCGCGTTTCTGCGGCGAGCAGGGCTGCAGAGGCGCGGTCTGTGCCGCCGCTGCTGCTGGACCCGTGCTTGGCCAGCAGCGCCTCAAGCGCCGCCAGCTCGCCAAGGCGCTTTGCTGCGTCCGCACAATCCGACGCTGCCGCCAGGCCGCCGCTAACGGCCTCCAGCAATCTGCCAACCTCCTCCGCCGCCTGGAGCGCCGTCAGCACGCCCCCAGGCACGCTGGTCGAAGACATGCCACCCCGCAGCCGCTTCAGCGCGCTCGAGGCGCTTACTGTGGCGGCCTCCTCTGCTGCGAGCTCCAGCAGGCGCGCCAGGCTTCCCTGCGCTGCGGCCGCGCTGCGCTCATCGATGACAAGTGGCAGCAGCTCCATCGCTGCGCTCACCAGCGGCGCGTCTGCCGCCCCGCTTTGCTGCAGCTTGCGAGCGCGGCCGAGGGCGACAGGCAGCGCGCGCAGGCGCGCCGCGGCGTCATCGCTGCCAAGTGCTGCTGCCATGGCTGCGACGGCCTCGATTGCCGTGTCCTGATGCAGGAAGAAGTAAAAATAGTTTGGCAAATTCTTTGTCAGTGAGGGAAGGCCAAAGTATTGACCAAACATTCTAAGCAGGTCACGCATATACACGCAAAACCTGCCCAGACAAGACACAATATCACAGCACAGCACAGCACAGCACAGCACAGCACAGCACAGCACAGCACAGCACAGCACAGCACAGCACAGCACAGCGCAGCGCAGCACAGGACAGCACAGCGCAGCACAGCGCAAGCCCAGCAAAGCGCTGCCAAAATGGTGGTCGTTGCTCCGCAGCACAACCGCTTGATCATGGGACGCACCTGGCAGGGTGATGTAAGGTAGTCGCGGCCGGCGGCCACGACGGCCTGCTGCGCGCCATCCAGCCCCATCAGCCGCGCCGCCGCGCGCGCCGCCTCGTCCCAGACAACACGCCCAGCCCCGGTCGCACCCTGCGCCGCCGCCAGCGCCTGCAGCAGCACGCCGATCTGGTCGCGAAGCGCCGAGGACCGGGCCTCCGGCAGCTGCAGCTGCGCCGCCACCGCCTGGGCGGCCAGCCTGCAGAGTTCTACGTCGTCCCTGCCATTTCCAACCGCATGGGCGCAGCTGAAGAGCCGCGCCGCTGCCCGGACAGACGCGTCGGTGACCGCCGCGGCGCCCAACCGCAGGCGCATCTCTACGCGCAGCGCCTCCTCATTGGCCACGCCTGCGTCCGCGCCCGCGCCTGGGGCGTGCCACGCCTTGAACGCCGGGGACTTGGCGAGCGCCGCCAGTCGCAGCAGCTTCAGCTGCGGCGTGAGGGCGCTGCTGTCGTCCGGGTTGAGTGTTGAGCTGCGCAGCACGGCGCTTGCAAGGCCGACCGCCGCCTCAAGGCGCGCCGCCGCGTCGCTGGCAACCACCACGGCTTTGAGAGTTGAAAAAACGGGGGTCGGCAGGCCCAGCACCCGCAGCACCCGGACCGCACCAAGCACGGCCGCGGCCTCGTCGCCGCGCGCCGCGGCGTCTTCCACTGCTGACAGGCTGTTGACGGCTCGCTTCAGCAGCTTTGTGGGCTGTGCGGCCGCGAGGGGGACGGCCAGCGGGCCAGTCAGGCCTGTGCCATCACCAGCTTCACCCAGTACCTCTGCATCCCCTGCTGCCACGCCTGCCGCAGCGCCGACGAAGCCGCCACCTCCGCCATCTTCACCGCCGCGGCCGCCGCCATCGTAGCTTGCCACACCTGCCAGCCGGCGCAGCTTCTCGAGTGCTGAGTCGCCGATGAGCAGCTGCAGCGCAGCATCCCACCTGGCATGCGAGGCGGCCGCCGGGCCGCTGGCGCAGGCCATGAGGTTGAGCGCCCCCGCCCAGCCCGCAGCATCCCGCCACTCGATCGCTCCCAGCAGATCGGCCAGCTCAGCCAGGCGCGGCGCCGCGCCGCCCGCGCCGCGCGACGCCGAAAGCAGCCGCGCGGCGTCGCCCTTCTCTTGGGCGGCTGCCCCATCGCCACGAGCGTCGCCGCCGCCTGCACCCGTGATGCGCTTGATGAGCGCCATGAATGCCGCCGCTTGATCCGGCCCCAACGCCTCCTGCACCTCCACCGCCGCCGCAATCAGATCCTCGTTGATGCCGCCGCTGCTGCGCGCCCCTCTGGCAAGCGCAGCGAAAACAGGCTGTGCCGCGTCTGGCTTGACCAGGCCCGTCGCCAGGCTCGCCACCAGCTCGGTATCGCCGACATCCTCAGGCCCGGCCGCAGCCGCGGCGGCGCCCGCTGCGGGCGGCTGCAGCTCCTGCATGGCCGATTGCAGCTCTGGCCGATGCGGCGCCTCGCCTTTCTTGGCGATCTGGGCCGCGCTGGTGGCGTCTGAGCCAGCGGCCAGTGCAAGCGCCGCTGCCAGTTGCTGTTTGCTTGTTGGCTGCCGTGCGATGGCATCCAACTGCTCTGCCGTTGCGTCGCCGCCGCGGCAGACCGCCGCAGCTGCTGCGATTGCGGCCAGGGGGAGTGCGGCACGCATGGCGTCCCCGCCCTCCGGCGCTGCCGCCGCAGCCTGCAGCAGCCGCGTCTGGACGCGCCCCATGGCGCGCGGGTCGAAGCGCGCTGGCAGCTGCTGGTGGCTGCTTGTATGCTGCCCTGGCTGCACGTTGCCCTTCTGCCCCTGCCCCTGCTTCTGTTTCTGCTCGCTCTTCAGGCTGACCTGCAGAGTCAGCGGCACCTCCAGCGCCACCGGCTGGCCGAGAGTGTCGAGCTGGTTGCTGCAAATGAGCTGCACCGCGCCCGTGTATGTGGCCGCCGCGGCCAGTGGGCCCGCCGTCACCGCAGCCAGCAGCGCCAGCTCCCCATGAGGCGGCACGACCAGCTGCTGCAGCTCGCCGCCGCCGACGGGCGTCCCTTCGAGCCGGCGCAGCAGCTGCAGCTGCACCTCTCCGACAGGCCCAAACGTGGCGTCATGCGCAACGGTGACGCGCGCGGCCGTGCCGCCCCTGTTCTGCAGCACCAGTGGCGCGCCCTCCAGGCGCCGCCTGTCGGCGCCCGGCGCCACGGGCGGCAGCTTCAGCGCTGCTGCCTTGACCCGCAGCTGCGGCCCGCTGCAACGCAGCTCGCACGTCGCGCGCACCAGCTGCTGCGCCGCAATGTTGGTGCTCAGCCAGCAGCCAAAGGACTTGATCTCGCCCGGCGTCAGCTCGGCTGGCACGTGCCGCAGCATAAGCGTGGCAGTGTCACCCGCAGGGACCGTCACACGCACGGAGGCCGGCTGCGATGCGCCGGCCTCCGGTGACACGAGGGGGATCTCTCCTTTGTACGCCGTCCCCCGATCTGTCGCTGCTCCGAACGCCGCGGCAGGGGGGCCGCCTGCCACTGGCGCGGGCCCCGGGGCTGCCATGCTGAAACGGCGGCCGCTGTCCTGCTGCTCCGGTGGGGCCAGCTGCAGCTCGAGGGGCAGGCTGCCCGGGTTGCTGACACGCAGCTCCGCGACGGCGCCTGAGAACACGCCAGAGGCGTAGAAGTGGCGCTCCAGGAAGGTCTCTGGCTTGGTCATGTCAACATGGAAGCGCACAGCCTCGGCCCTCCACACGGGCGCCCCGCAGAGCACGTCGAGGAGGAAGGGCAGGCTGTCGCCGCCCTCCACGGCGAGCAGGCAGCGGGAGAGGCCGGCGTCCTCGGCGCCAATGCGTAGCTCGAGGGCGCCGCAGGCGCCGGCGGGCACCGCGTCGGCCAGGGGCGGGGGCGGGGTGGCTGCAGCGGCACGCCATGCGTAGCTGGCCGCAGGCGGCTGGCGCGACAGGGAGTAGCGCACTGGCACGCGCCCTGGTGAGAGGCGGGCACAAGGGGTATGGTGCGCGAGGGCTTGAGATGTGAACCATCTTGCAGGCAGTGGTTAGGACCGAATGTCGTGCAAGGTTGGGGTCAGAGTCACACGCTCAACGCTCACAATCTGCTCAGCAACTTGAAAATCACATAAAGGCAGACTATCTCCACTTTCAGGCGGCACCCTGCAATCAATAATCCTGCCCTCCCCCGCACGGTCCCCCACCTGTGTTGCGCAGCCGCAAGCTGACCACCTTGAACTGCCCGGGCTGCAGCTCGACCCTCGGCAGCGCCTCGCCGCTAGACACCTGTCGCATCGCCTCGCCCTGTGGCCCGAGCAGCTCGAGGCAGTACGCCGGCCGCAGGACCTGCGCGCTCAGCGGCAGCTCCCAGCGGTTGCTGGCGCCGCCGACTGCCACAGTCAGCGCGCCCTGCACCAGCTCGTCTCGGGGTCCCGGCTGCAGCGCCACCTCGAGCGGCGCGTCGCGCTCAAACGGCGCCAGCACGCGCGCCTCGGGCCGCACGCTGACTGCTGCACCGCCCGGCGCGGCGGTGCCCGCGGCGGCTGCGGCCACCGCAGCCCGCATGGGCAGCCGCACGCCGGTATTGTTGGTGATGCGTACGACGGCGGTGGCGCGCTGCTTGTAAGTGGGCACCTCCCCAAAGTCGATGCCCGCACCCGGCGATGGGTCCAGGCTGATGTCCAGAGCCTGGGCCTCCGCAGTCACCCGCACCGCCACCGCCGCGCCGCCACTGCCGCCGCTGCTCGACCGGCCGCCGCCTGCAGTGAGAATGAAGCGCGCCGCGTGCTCGCCGGGCGCGAGGCCGGCGCCGCCCGTGCGAAGCTCGAACTCAATGGCCGCCACGCGGCCGGGTGCCACCAACAGCTGCCGGCGCGGCGCCACGATCGGCGGCGCGGCGGCGCCGCCCTCCGCCAGCGCAGGCGCTGCTCCTGCTGCCGCCGCTGCTGGGACGGCAGCTGCGGCAGCGGACGCATCATCATCCAGGTGTATGCTGAGCGGAGCGCGCGTCTTGTTGTCAATGTGCAGCTGCACCGCCCTGGCGGCGCCGCCGGCGCCACCTGCCAGGACAGGGTCGAAGGCGAGCGCAACGGCGGGCGCGCTGGCAAACACGACCCCCGGCTCCGCGCCCTCGTAGAACGTGACCGCGCCGTCGCGCGGCCGGCTGGCGGCCGCCGCCATTGCCGCGGCGAGCGCGGCCGCGGCCGCGGGGTCGCCGCCGGGGGGCGGCTGCGGGGCGGCGCGGAGCAGGCGCTGGGCCTCGTGGAGCATCTCGAGCATGCGGCGGCGGCGGGACAGGAGGCTGCGGATTGCGATATCAAGGAACTCGGCCTGGCGGGAAAGTGGAGCCAAGGATTGGTATCGTTAGGGTGGGGGTTGCTGCAAGGAGGGGTTGAACGTGGGCGCACAGGCGAGGTGGGTATGGAAGTGTGAGCAGTGAACCAAAAGACTATGGGGCTGATGCTGCGGCACACATGCCCCGACAGGGATATGAAGGATGAGAAAGGAATGCTATGACATGCAAGCGTTCTTGCTTGATCTCAATGATCAAGGAGCCAGAGATTGCCCAACACAAGAATCCAGGTTTATTTGGGCGCAACAAATGGCTGCGCACGTCAGATTGCACCCCTCCACACGCCGCGGCAGACGTGCCAGCACACGGTCTCACCTGCCCGACCGCCATCGCGTTGGCGCTGCTGCTGACCCTCATCGCCTGCGCCATGGTCTTCAGCGCCCCCTTGCCGCCCTCCACCCGCCGCTGCACCTCCTCCAGCTCACGCATGCTGCTGACGCCCGCCGCCTGCACCGCCATCATCATGGCCAGCGCGCGGAAGCTGGCAAGCAGCTGCGCGTCGAGCGCGTCGCGGAGGCGCCGCGCTGCGCCGCCGGCGGCCTGAGCTGCGCCGTCCATGCCGCTTGTGGCCAACGCTGTGATGGCGCTGTCTTTGTCAACACTGTCCTTGTCAGCCAAGGTCAGTTTCAACAGCGGCAGGTCCCGCATGCCTTTGAGCAGCTGCCGCGCCTCCACAGATGCGTCGGCCCACTGCCTGCAGGCCAGCAGCTCGCCGGCCGCCCGCGCCGCCGCCCTCATGCCGTCGGTGCCGTCCTGGCTGCTGTCGTCGCCACCACCGCTGCTCCCAGCGAGCGCCGCGTGCTGCGCGGCGGCGGCGGTAGCTGCCCGGCTTGCGAGTGCCGCAGCCGCACTCATCGCCTGCCGGTGTGCGCTGTTGCGCAGCTCTGAGCCTTCGCGGCTGCTCCTGTCGCCGCTGTCGTCCGTCAGGCTTGCTGGATCTTGAGGCCGGGGGCCAAGGCTGCCAGGCTTGAGGCGGCGGAGCTGTGTGTCAAAGTCATACAGACGGGTGAGCGCCGTTCCGATCTGACTTTGCAGCTCCAGCACCGCGCCGGCGCCGCCGCTGCCACTGATGCCTGTGCCGCCGCCGCTGCGCGCGCCGCCGGCGTCGCTGCCGGGTGCGGATGCGCTTTGCGGCGTGCGCTGGTCCCAGGCGTTGGGGCGTGGCTTGTACGCCACCCGTACGGCGTAGAACAGCAGCATAGACGTCCGGGCATCCGGATCCTGCCCGGGACCGGCACCGAGATAGATCTTGCGGCTCCTTCTGCTTTCCCAGCAAAGAGATGCGATCGGGGCGGCGTCGCAACGCAGAACGCCGCCGCCGATCGGCTGCTGCGCCGCCAGCTCTTTACTTCCACTGGCCTCGCTAGAGCGCTGCGCCAAGAAGCTGAAGTGTATCGCCGCCTTGTCCGGGTCGTTGATCACGATGCTGACCGGCTGCAGCGGCACGCCAGGCTGCAGATCGAGCATGGCACCCTGTCCACCACCTTTGACAAAGTACGCGTGCTCAAGGCTGAGCCGCACCGCGGCACAGCCGCCGTGCTGGCGGCGGGCCGCCTCTGACATCGAGAAAATGAGTGGCTCTGCTGAGCTGATCTGGAGCTCAGCCACGGCGCCTTTGGACTGGTTGCGAATTGCCCAGGCAGCTGGGAAGTTGCCATGGCTCCCAGTGAGGGTGTCGGCGGCCTGTCCAGTGGATGTGGAGATTTGTGTGCACATCCATCGCTGCGTTAAGATTATAGGATGACTCCGAAGCAGAATCTGGCTGACCGGTACCATGGGGTGGAGTGCCCCATACAGCAGAAGTGTACACACGCGGCAGCTAGTCCCATCCTAGCCATAAGGTCAGGTCCTTGCGCACGCACCAGCATGACCTCATCCAGCATGCAGCCCCAAGGCGGCCGCCCCTCCGCCTCCAGCGCGGCCGCCAGCTCGCGGCTCTTGTCGTGCGCCTGCTTCAGCTGGGCGTTGGCGGCGTCCTTGAGAGACCTGTATTGAGCCTCCTGCTGCTCGATCTCCTTCTTCTTGCTGGTGAAAAGGTCAAAAAAGTGGGTAATCTGGGAGGCGGAAGCAAGGAGAGGTGCGGTGAGAGTCTTGCCACGCATGCTGTGGGGTGCTTAGGCGGCAGCATGGGAAGGGCCTGCTGCATGGTACAGGTACAGGCAGGGCATGAGGGCGAGGGGGGGACGAGGATGCTGGTGCCTTCCTTCAGCAGACAATTGGGGGTACTCGAGCACTGGCTGGAAATGGCACGCACCAGACAGGCCTGTTTCTGCTCTCACAGCCTTGCCGCTGGATGCGCGGTTCTCACGAGCTCGACCAAGCGGCAACCCACCGTATCAACCGCTTTTTGAAACAGCCCTCGCCGCGCGAGCCGCCGCGCCTCCACCAGGTGACTCCCCTCCTCGTCCCACAGCTCGCCCTGCGCCACCAGCTGCGCCGCGGCCGCCGCCAGCGGAGCGCCGTCGGCGGCGGCCAGCAGCTGGCGCGCCTCTTCAAAAACGACCCGGCCGATCTCGTCGTAAGCCCACCCCTCCAGGCGCATCAGGCGGTCCAGCGCGCCAAGCCCGCCGCAGTCGCCGCTGGCATCGCCGCCACGGCCGCGCCGCAGCTCTGAAAGCGGCGCGTCGAGCAGGCGCCGTGTGAGGGCCGCGTTGGCGTGCAGCTCGCCGATCAGCCGGCTGACACGCAGCACCTGGATTGAAGGCGGCCAGCAAGTGCATATGAACAGCAGACACGGGCAATCGCAAATTTGGCAGAGCAGCAAAAAGGGACAGAGCAGCACGAAGGAACAGCAGCTGATTAGGTCCCGCCGAGGCGGAGCAGCAAACAGGGCCGAGCAGCTGGACAGCAGCAGGCAGCGTGCGCAGCAGGCTGTTATGCACGCCCTTGCAGCCCCACACCCCGCCGCCACGATCCCCCCGAACTCCGGTTATTGCTCACTGGCCCAAATGCACAGCCCACCTGGGGACAGAAGTCGAAAAGGGTCATGAGCTGCTCAGGCGCCACGTGCATCGCCGTCGTGAGCGCCGTCAGCTCCGCCTCGTGCTGCGCAAACCAGGCCACGGCCAGCGGCGAGCCGAGGCCGAGCGCGCCGGCCGCCTCTGGGGGTCCGGACTGCTCCAGCAGCCGCAGCAGCTGGGCAGGGATTTGGGCGGGAAAGGGAGAGGGGTTTAGCACAGACAGCAGTGCGAGATCGTGCCAAAAGGGGTGCAAATCCAACTGCAGCTCAGCAGCGCAAGCACCGGTGAGCTGCTGTGCACCCCATCAAAACCCCATGACACTACGTTGGCATTCAAAAAAAACCACGTGCGGGCTCAAAGATAAGGCCCAGGGGCGGCCTATTGGTCAATTATGCCCAAGCCATTGTCATCATCCCGCAGCACCAACCTGAGGCAGACGCTGCACATCTCCCAGCCGCAGCTCCTCCCAAGCCGGCTCCATGCCGCCCACCGCCAGGCGCTCGCCGCCGCCCGCCGCCCGCCACAGCGGCGCGGCGGCCAGCTGGCGCTGCCTTTGCTCAGGCGCAGCGGAGACGTGCGCGGCGAACGCGGCCTCGATGGAAGCCACCTCAGCGCGCAGCACCTCCTTCTGCAGGCGCTCGCTGCACTCCCGCAGACGCCTGCCCGCCGGCGCCATGCCGGGGCGGCGCTCCGTCAGGACGTCGGCTGCGTGGAGGGTAGCTGCCTTGAAAGCATCAAGAGCGGCTGCCACTGCGCCGGCCGCCTCTGCCTGCGCCGCTTCACGCACATCCGGGGAGTCCTCAAAGCTATTGCCGGTGGCGCCACTGCTGATGCTGCTGCCGCCGATCACCGGCAGGCGCGAGACGGCAAGCGCCGCCGCTGTCATCCGCATCACCGCCTGCACGTCTGCCGCCTGCAGCTGTCCCGCCGCCCGTGCGGGGCCCAGGCTGTCTCCAATCCCAGCCAGGCGGTCTGCAAAGCGGTGCAGGGCGAACGACGCCGGCAGGTACGCCACTGCGCCGCCGCCGATGCGCCGCTCGGCCGACACCAGGAGCTCCGCAGGTCCGGACGCCAGGCCGTAGCACGCCCGCAGCTCTGCCCCGCCGGCGGCGAGCAGCGCGAACGGCAGCCGCGCCGCGAGAGCGCCCGCGCGCACCCTCAGGGCTGCGGCGTCGGCTGGAAGAGCGCGAGCCTCTGGGCCGCAGCCCGCGGCGGTGCACCAGCCCATGAGGCGGTCTGCCAGGGCCTCCAGCGCCTGGTCGGGCTGCTGGCAGCGCGCGAGGCGCAGGCAGGCGAGCGCCTGCAGCAGCAGGTGCGTCTGCGCCGCGGCCAGGCCGCGCCGTGCTGGCGCGAGCACGGGGCTGCCGTCTAGGCGCCCCAGCAGCTTTGACAGCAGGCTGGTTGCGCCACGGCCGCTGTCGTCGTCCCAGCCGTGACTCGCGTCCTCGTCAGCATCGGCACAGCCGCACAGCAGCAGCAGCTCGTGCGCGGCGGCCAGCACGTCCGCAGGCGGCGCCGCGTCGAAAACGGCGCGCTGAAGCGAAACCGCGCGCGTGGACGCCTCTGACTGCAGCCGCAGCAGGTCCGGCTGCAGGGCTGCCAGCTCAGCGGCTGCCGTGCCGCGCGTCAGGAAGGCCTGGTAGCGCGGCCACACCTGATAGTGGGGAAGGTGTTTGCGTTGAGGGAAGCGTTAGCTGTGTTGGTGCTTTGAAGTAAAGCAACGCTTGGTTCCAATCTGCACCGAAAAGCGCTATGATTTGCACGAGTACGCCATCGCAGCAGCAGCAGCAGCAGCAGCAGCAGCAGCAGCAGCAGCAGCAGCAGCAGCAGCAGCAGCAGCAGCAGCAGCACTCTCAACCCTGGCAACCTTTACCAACCTGCAGGCAGCCGCAAAGCGCCGTGGCGCTGAGCTGCAACAGAGACCCAAGCCATGCGGCAGCGCCACCAAACACATCGCCCTCCTCCAGCCCGTCTGCCGCCGCACGCAGCTCGGTGGCCGCATCAGCCGCCGCGTCGCGCGCCGCGAGCAGTTGCTGCATCGCCGGGCTCCAGTCAGGAAGCTGCTGAGCGGCTGCCACCACGCGGTGCAAGAGCTCCAGCTGCAATGACAGCGACGCGCGCTCCGATTTCTCAGGCTTGCAGCCTGCCGCGCCCGCTGCCCTGGCCAGCAGCTCTGAGGCACTGCTGGCCGCGGCTTGCAGCGCGCGCCGGGCGCGCGCCGCCGCCGCCGCCGCCCTCTCTCGCCGCGCCCCGGCTGCACGCTCCTGTGCGCGCGCGCAGTCGGCCTGCAGGGCTGCCAGCTGTTTCCGCAGCTCGGCCAGATCATCATCGAGGCGCTGCAGCGCGGCGCGGGCGTCGGCGATCTGCTTGTTGAGCGCCTCGACCTCTTGAGCCTGGAAGCCGTCCGCCGCGCGCACCAGCGCGCGGTGTTTCCTATCTTCAAGCTCCTTGACCCATTTGGCCGTCTCGCGGCGCTGGGCGCCGTTGGCATTGGCGTCGATTGACGAGCGCAGCTCAGCTTCTCGCTGGTCTATCACGTCAAAGGCGGCGTCCGCCTCAGCCTGTGCGCCCGCCGTGTCCCTGCATGCCGCTGCATGCCGCCCCAGTGCGACGTTGAGCGATGCCGCGGCCGCGCCAGTGGCCGCAGCGAGCAGCAGCGCCGCACCCAGCTGGCGAGGCAGCGTGTGCCCGGCAAGGGCGCCGCCGTGGGCCGCCGCGGCGGCTGCGGCCGCGTCGTCGGCGTGCAGCTGCTTGGCAGCTGCCAGAACCTCAGGCAGCCAAGACTCTGTCTGCAGCACGTCGCCGGTGGCATCGCTTGCAAAGAGGGGCCTGGAGCTTGCCGTGCCTGCGGCCTGGGGTGGCGCGGCAGCACCTGCTCGCTCTGCTGGCGCCTGCAGCAGGGCTTTAACCTGCGCGGCGACCTCACTGCTGGGCTGCAGCAGGCACGCCACGTCGGCCCAGCCGAGCGCCACCGGCGCGAGGGGCGCCGCAGTGCCAGGCGGGAAGGCGCTCATGACTGCGTCGAGGCTGCGAGCGAGCGCCTTGGACGCTGTCAGGGAGGGATACAGGTCCAGCATGGCACCTGCGCCGGCCCTGCCGTCATCAGCCCCCATCCCCCCGAATGCCGGCGCGGCAGCCGCCGCCGTCGCCCCCGCGCCTGCAGCGCCGGCGGTCCCGGCCAGCTGTGCAGTCAGGTCAGCGACCCGCGAGTAGGCGCAGGGCTGCAGCGCAACTTCCGTGGCGCTGGCTGCGACTGCCGCGGCCGGCATCAGCAGGCGGCACCTGAACCCTGCATATGCCCGAGCCAAGGCGTCCTCGCAGCCGACCAAAATTCCGCTTGCCGCCGCGGCTGCACGGGCTGCGGCGCTCTCCCTGCTGGCTGAGCGCCTCCCTGGATGCTGCAGCAGCTGCTGCTGCTGCTCCTGCTGCTGCAGGCTGCGCGCGATGTGGTCGAGGGAGAGGGCGCCGCACAGCTCCCGCAGCTCTGACAGCCGCGCCCGCTGCTGCTCATCATGGCCATCCAGGTCAGCAGCGCCGTCATCACGCCTGCTTCCCGCCGCCACCATACCGCTGAACGCGGCCGGCGCCTCCCGCAGGCCCGCCGCCAGCGCCAGCGCGCGCCTGTAGCACGCATCCTCCAGGTTGGCGCGCAGCAGCGCCGCTGCTGCCGCGGCCGCGGCGGACGCGGCGTCGCCGGCCGCGTCCGCGTCCGCCTTCGCCTGCTGCAACTCCCGCAGCGCCGCCAGCAGCCCCTCCAGCGCCGCGGGCGCCGCCGGGTCGCACTGGTCCTCCTCGGCGCCCGCTCTGGCGGTGCGCTGCCACGCTGCAGGGTCGACGGCGCAGTCCTCCTGCTCCAGCTGCTGCAGGCCCCGCAGCGCGTCCGCCCAGGGGTGCTCCGCCGCCAGGCGCGACAAGAACGCCTCGGCCCGTTGGCCGGCTTCATGAGCATCCAGCAGCACCCGATGCAGCAGCGCGGGGGACGCCGCGCCGGGGGCGAACGCGCCGCCGCCCGCGGGCGCCCCGGCGCCGCCGCCGAGCGCCGCGGCGAGCCGCTCCAAGTCGGCCTGCGCGGCCTGCAGCTGGCGAACGAGCGCGGGGTCGGCGCGGCCCGCTGCAGTTCGCAGCGCGGCCAGCAGGCGCGAGAGCGATTCGGACGCCGCCGCGAGCTTGCCGCGCGCGTGCTCTCGCCACAGCGCGCCATCGTCCCCGTCCGACGGCCCACCGCCTGCCGCTGCGGCGGCGGCTGCAGCTCCCGCTGCAGATCCCGCGTCTGGTACCTGGTTGGGTGGGCGGTCTAGCAGGCCCGCAAAGGGCATGAGTGCGTCGACCAGCTTGTTGCTCTCGACCACCTTCAAGGGCAGCCCCAGGCTGCGCAAGTGCTGCACCAGTTCGTCGCTGCGCGCGGCGAGGTATGTGGTGTCCCGCCGCCGCCGCACTCGCACGCCCGCTGGCGCAGCGGCCGGCTC